GAATTTGAAATAGTGATAAACGGTCAAATTAGATATCATGCTCATATGGTGGGTCGGATTGCTTTTGAAGCGGGCCATTAGTTATCAGAATCTCCACCTCTTTCACAAAGAATCTTTTTATTTCGTTTTGACCACGAAGTTTCGTACTTTGTTCATCTTTGTCCCGAGTTTATTGTACAAGTACTTGAAGTTGACCGTCGATAAATTCTTAAAAAAATGAAAATGTAAATATCGCGTATTCATATGTAACGAGAATAAGGTTTTGTTTGACTGAGCTTTTGCCGGTAAAGCTTTTTTGAAAAGAATTGTTAGTAAAACTAAAAGAACCAAGTGAGACTGTGACCCTCGAGGGACGGAGGGAGGGGCATAATTTTTTGCCTTTTTTTAATTCATATGATCTATTGAGGGTTTCATCACATATGAGAATATATCAAAACTAAAAAGTTTTTAATTATTTGATTGTCAATTCAAAAGTGTAATCAACATATAATTAATTGTTAGACAATATAATTATAAAAGACTTTTTTTCTATTCGAGTTTGGTGGAGTGCAACTCTCTTGAACCAGTCCCCGGATGTAACTCATGTGACATGTAATATTGCAAGTCTATGGTATATTTATCTCTATTTATGACAATATTCGTGTTTTGGCCAAGGTTGAAGAGCTTTTCGTTTCAGGTATTGTAGCAATGTTTGATTAAGGGTCAACTCACACTAAAAATGATCAAATTAGCCTCAAGGGTAGATATGGTGTGATACTAATGAGATTAGGATAAATGTCATGAGCTAGATATTGAGTTTACCTCGTTTGCAAGTGACTACGATCGTTTATTCGTCGATTTGTGTCTAGACTCATCGGAGTAGGCCAATTGATAAAGGGATAAAAGAGGACAACCTTCGTACCTCGACTCATTCTACCATTACACGACCTTAGACGGTCAATGACGATCCACCAGATGACCACATAACGATTGGATAGACCATTAAGTAAATGTCAATGCCATTAGAAAGATTCGAATAGCTTGTTTGGTCTTCACCCTACAATTTTTGTCAAATATCAAGGAAACCCTATGACGCTTATTCCACATGCGCATAACTACCCTTTGACACGTAAACATAATTCAAATTATATTTAAAGGAAGTCCCCAAAAGTAAAATTGTACTCTTTACTATCTAAAATATTTTTTCCACGAGTACATTTTACTCTCTTCACATATACAAAGAATTATCAACCAATTCTCACATTGGAGGGGCCGAGCGCCAAAGTCCTTTTTGCGAATTTCCCTGATTGATCGAGTGTTATAAGAATCGATAAGTCGATCAACATCATTATGAAATTCTATTTATGAAATTCTCCTAACCAAACTTTCGAGATTCTGTTAAATTCGAAATAAATTAGAAAACAAAGATTTAGATTCGAACTAAATTTAAGATTTGGAATGATGTGTTATATATCTAAATTTGACCGCTCAAAGTCTTATCCAACAAGCGTCGAAATGTCTGCATCGAGTTGCCCTTAGTGAGGTCGCGACCAATCAACCTTCAGGATGCATCACCCAATATAAAATTAGAAATAGCAAATGTTTGCTCAATTTCAACTTTTTATTTTTTGAACTTAGGGAAACAATGAAAAAGAAACTAAAAGAATCTACACAAATTGAATTGAGCGAGTCACAATTCAAGAACGATGAAACTTGATCATCGACAGAGTATAATTCATATTTTTCAATACTATTCGAACCGATCCACACATTCATTTTGACACTACAATTTTTTAAGCTCAGCAGACATGCTCCAAACACATTCGTTTTGACAATACATTGTTTTTTAATAAATTAAGCTAGATATACATCCTTGTTGACACATTCCCCTCGTGCTGAAAAAAAAATGTATAATAATGTGAATGATAAGTTAAAAATTAAGAGCGTAGATCTTGACACCTACGAAAGTGTAAAAGAAGGTGAGGGGAGAGTTCACATGTAGCATGATTGAGTTTTTGAAGTTGGCATAACATGTTCCTAGTTACATTAAGCGCGCATTTGGCCTCCATTATTTTACATTATAATGAGAGGAGTAATATTTTTTAGAGAATGTGTGGTAAAAAAAAAAGAAGTTTTTTTCTTGATTTACGTGTAATATTATTTTATTGGAGAATATGTGATTGATAAGAAGAGAGAAAAATAAATTTTGATTTAATGGGAAATAATGGGGGCCAAACGGTGGCTAGAAGTCCAGCCAATTTGAGCCATGCTACAGAAACCGCGGGGATGACCGCGCTTGTGATCGCGCACACACACATGGGGGGTCGGGATTATTTTATTTGGGTGGAACCCTAACCTCGGTTGTGAGGGCGCGATCATCCCCGCGGTCATCCATGCGGGTCGTCTAGAATAATTCAGCCAATTTAGACTGAAAATCCTATCCGTACCAGTCATCAGAGCGTCTAGGCCACCCGCCCGCATTCTGAATCATTTGGGCGGGTGAGGTTCGATCAAGTTAATCGGGTCAATACCCTAACCACCTGTTAAGAAATAAAGAGGAATCAGTGTTGGATTTTGTCGTTTCCATCATCTTCTCCCTTGGCGGTGCAAAAAGTGATGCAAATTTCTGCAATCGAAGGCAAGTCTTTCTCTCTCTGTGGATGTATTGAACGCAAAATATTATTTTATTTCATGTTGTTGATATTCATATAATCATTTGATTTTGCGGAAATTGTAACATTTTTTTATTACTTGAAGCATCCTATTTTATGTTCGGCATTTTTTTTTCTTTTTTTTTTTTTTCAGTTTTCCGTGAAATTCTGCTAACACCATAACATTTCAAAAAAATTTGACGTTTAAAGTGAATTTTCAATAATTGCTTCCTAGATCGTCCTCCTGGTACTATGCTTAAGTCAGTATGCGATGATAGAATATTAAAGTATAATCGCAGTGAGAAAAAGAGCTGAGTCTGTTTGGACGGCAGTGATAGAATTCTCAATGGACTCTGATTTAAATGGAGATGGATTTTTCCTTCATATCTCTTAAGTGATGGATTTTGTTCATAGTGGATTTTATCTAACATCAACATCAATTAGTGCTTGTACAAATGAAGAACAATTCTGTAAATTAATGAAAATAGCTAACAACTTGTTCTGAGCGTTGTCTTTTAATTAATAATGTGATGATTGTTGGATTTTCCTTCAGAAATAGAATTAGGAGCAGGAAGCTAGTTTAAATTCGTTGCATGATACCCCTCGGAAATGCACTTACAAAAAGAAAAGAACAAAAGATAAACAAATTGTACCTTTCGTGTTTCGAAGTTGGAAGGTTAAGGTATCTGTATAGCTAACACAATTTCATTCAGATCAATAAGGGTGAAAAGAAGAACCGTAAAGTCTACATATATTGGTCGTGTGGTATGTTTTAATTCTCAAATTTGATGTACTGTTGGTTTAAATAATGGCATGGAATTACAAAAATAATAATTAAGTACTCAAAGATTCAGTTCAACCAAATTTTCCGATTTTGTAAGTTGTGTGAGATACAAGTGAGTAATTTAAGTGAAAGACCTTTGATCTAATTGTTCTTTGAGTCAACATTATTGTTTTGGTGCTTAAACAGCCTATAGGGATTTGCTGACCGCTGTTATGTCTTTTATCCATTTTTATTTTACCAGAGAAATTTAAGTATTCAAGGCTCTTTATCCCTCAAAAATTTCTTCCCATTTATCGTTTTTGAATTTTTATATGAAACCCTCTTTTTCCAGCCTATGCTACCACCAATTCTAGTATGGTATACTAGTTAAATAGTTCGTAGCAGTGATACAGTGCTTAATATTAACCAAATTAATGACGTTGGACTCTGAAGGGTGGCTAAAAGGAATGGCAATCTTTTAAACTAGCTTTAGTGGTGCCTGTTGAAATACATTTTACAGTCCTTGATTTGAATTTGACTGGTACTATTTCTAGCAGATCACTTGGTTGAGTATTGAAGAACCCTGTCCAAGCCGTGTGTTTCACAACTTCAAGTTCTTGAAGAATCTCTAAGCTGTGAATTTCAAATTTTCGCAGAGTGTTTCTGATTCTTTGGCAAGTTGCATTTCTGCAGAGCATATTGGAAATCATATAACCAGATCCTATACCATTTGATGGAAAATACAGAGCAAAGGCAAGCAGAGAATATCAACTGGGATGAAGCATTTCATCTCTATGCTAATGTGATTGCACACGAGAATGATGCTCTGCAGGTTAAGGCAACAATCAAGCTAGCAAGGATGTCCAACCGTGCCCCTGAAAATATTTTGTCAATCACTGTGCCAATCCTAGTGGAACTTCTTGAAAGCCCATCTCGCAATCCGAGTCCACCAGTTCAGGAAGCCTCTGCTTACTGCTTGAAATGCATTGCTTGTATAGGAGAAGGCAAACTAGCCATTCTTATTGGGCAATCAGGTGTCATTCCTATCCTTCTGCGATTATTACTAAATTCTGATGGGAGCTTTCGGAAAGGTTTATTAAAATGCCTCCGAAATGTTGTTACATTTGGGGAACCAAATCGCTTGATTGTAGCTAGTAATGGTGGAACTGAGATTGTTCTTAATATGCTGGATTCCTGCTCAGATGATTCAATGTTAATTTTGTCAGAAATCTTGAGTGCATTAGCTCTAAAAAGAGAGGTTAGAAAGCTCATTCTCAGTTCAGGTGGTGTCTGGTTTCTTGTTGAATCTGCTAGGCTTGGCAGCTTGATTTCTAGAAGTCGAGCTGCTCAAGCAATTGGCTTACTTGGATTAATTAAACGAGCAAGACGAGAACTTGTCAATGCTGGTGCAATACCAGTGCTTATGGAATTAATAAACGACGGGGATATGTCAATGAAATTAGTGGCTGCTAATGCACTTGGTGTGATCTTAACTGATGCTGATAACATTTGGCCAATTGCTGAATCAGGAGTCGTTCCTCTGTACACCGAGCTACTCGAGGGGTCAGATCCCATTGGTAGGGAGATTGCTGGGGATGTATTGTATACATTAGCTACTGTTGAAGAAAATGCGTTTCCAATTGTGAAACACTTAGCTGGTATCCTTACCGGAGATAACGATGAAGCAAAATCTTTAGCAGGTGATATTTTGCGCCATCTCTTGGATTGTCACAAGCACTTCCTACCCTTCCTATTTAGGAGCCCTTTCTGGCAGGCAATTGTTATAAGATAGGATAACACGGGGCAGAATTAAAGCAAAAAAATGTTTAAAATCGTGTTGTTCAGCCATTTCCGATACTCTATACCAAACTTGCTCTTTGCATTTTGGTCAAAGCATTTGAAGGATGAGAACACAGATAATGAAAGAAGTAGGAGGAGCTATTGCTTAGTTGCAATATTGGGTATCCCTTGCTGAAAGATATGTTTCGGGGACTGAAAGATGTGTTGCATAAGCTAGATTTAGAGCATTTTTAGGAGACCTTTTATTATGTATAGTAGAGAAATGTTTAAATATTAGATAGTAAATATTTTTTTATACATTTCAATTATAATGTTCATTTTGACTCAACAATACTCTTATGTCTTATGAACTTTTAAGTTCCAGTTTGGTCCTCATTTTTCAAAATTCATTTTCGATCACATGGTTTATATGATTTATAACGTTTATCAACTTCTCAAATCATATTTTATTAATATTTATTAAAAAAAAATTCTCAATCATATTTTATTATTATTTATTAAAATTTACTAAAAATATAATTTTCCAAACAAAGCATGGGCTAAGTGAGTTTTCAAGCATACATGTACTTAACGCCAAGGTCCCAAGTCTTGAGACATCGTGTAACACTAACAGAAGTCACAATTTCTAAGACCATATGTAGAAGTATGGTCATCAAAGAATATGTAGTAATAACACGAGCAAACAATTTACTTAGCTCCTGTTTGGAAGAGAAATTTTAATCTAAATTAAAAGTAAACAATTAATTTTAATCATGTAGTTTTTGGGATCCAATTTTTAATTGTATATTCATCAACTTTTATCAAAATCTATTAAAAACTGATTTTAATCCACATAAAAGGGGCTTTTTTTTTAAAAAAAAAAAGGTAAAATTACGCTTAAAATAAAAAAAATTGTTTCTTTTTCTCCAAACTGGCCAATTCCCATGAAGTGTTGACCGAAGAAGAATTGGGCCGGGCCGCTCCAATGCCTTCCGAGAAGTGGTTTTTAAAGAGTGGAAATTATATAAAAGCCTAATTTTGAAGATCCCATTTCATAAATCATATGTTATGTTATCATTTCAAAAATCAGATATTTTATTAATATTATATAATAATAATTTGTTTATAATTATTAAATTAAATTAATTTATAAAACAACCTACCTCACTCTCCCCCTCATTTCCCCTCAAACCTTTCTTTTTCATCACTCTCAACCTCATCTCTCTCGTCGCCGGCGCGACTGTCGCCACTGCTCGACCAACACCAAAATCCCGCTGCCGTCTTCGGCCACTGTCGACGTGAGCGATCTAGTCACCGCTTTAGGGTGGTTTTCGAGTCGACCAACCCTTTCGAAATTTGGCGCGACGAGCTTCGATGCGGCGACAATGGTGGTGGGGATGTGTGCTATTGTGCGGTGGTGTTGGCGACGTAGTGGGTGTGTGGTGGGTTTGATTTTTGGGCTGTGATGGTAGGGATGATTTTTGAGCTGTGATGGTGGTGGGCGTGTGTGCGTTGCTGGTTGGGGACGGTGGATAAAATGGAAGCGGTGTTAACAGTTGATGGCTGCAATGGTTTAGGCGATCTAGTTTTTGAGCGTTGGTGGTGTCGTTTGCTGGTCGTAGTGCCTCTGGCTGTGTGCGGTGGTGTTGTGTGGGGATGTCGATGGTTATGGTCGGGTGGTTTTGGTGGTGTCGGGGTGTCAATTTATTTTTTAGACAGTGATGTTGCCTTCGGGCAGTGTTGGTTGTTTTGGCAGCGATTGTGGTGGTACAGGTGGCGGTTGACGTTGGTGGTGACAGTGTCGGTGTTAGTAGTGGTTGTTCTGGTGAATTTCTTGTAGTTTTGTGTTTCTGAGTCTAATTAATTTGGTGGGGGTGGTGTAAACGGAGATGGAGGAGATGGTGGTGGTGGTAGTGTATGTTGCAGGTTTGGTGGTGATTTGTGTCTAAGATCGGTGGCGGATCGGAATCGGTAGTGGGACCGTGATTAAAAATTAACATGTGACTAATAAATTTAAAAATATGTGATTAATAGATAAAAATTATAATGTTATCAATCATTATAAATAAACAATCATGAGTTGTGACTTGTGACCTGGGCTGTGACCATACAAAAGGTAAGCCGTGACCATCAAATGCGAACGATGTGCTGATAGTGGTCACAACTGTACAAAAAAACCATGTCAACTGTCCAAAAAAAAA